CCCTGCTCTGAGCAGCCAATTCATAGAGAAGACAATATGGCCGGCCCCACTATGAGACACGATATCCCTCACTGACCCATAGCTAAGGTGACCAGATTTAAAGCGGGACACCATTGACAGGGGGTGGGTGGGGGTTCTTGATTCAAAATTTGGTCTATATGGACTAAATTGACCGTTCCCTAGCTTGTCGTGCATTCTTTCCAAAAATAGGGACTGTCCTGCCAAAAGCAGGGTGTCTGGTCACCTTACCCATAGCCCTACAGGGGACAACACTGGAGACAGTGTGGGAATTGCGCCCGATCTGACCCCACCACACTGAGGCAAAACACTAAGGTAGAACAGCAAGGGGAACAGAATAACGAAGTCCCCAGGGAATACCAAAAGTAGACTTTGGGGATAGGGCATGGTGACCCATCAGATTCAACCAGAAAACACTCCTAAAGGCCAACAAACAGTCCTTGAACTAACTACAGGCATTTCTTTGTCATTGTTTTTTGTTGTTGTTGTTGTTTTGTTTTCTTTTGTTGCTTTGTTTTGCTCTGTCTTGTTTTTGTGCATGTTATTATCTCCGCAGGTCTGTCTAAATATTATAGGCTGGATGAACAATCTGGAAGAGAAAACAATAGGACCGATGTTTGGGGAGGGGGGGACAGGGGAAAGGAGGAGGTGGGGGAAAGGAAGTGGTGTTAATAAATGCAGGGACAAGGAAACAACAAGTGATCAAAATCAGTGGAAAGGAGGGTGTAGGAGGCCTGGTAGGGCGTGATCAAGGGTAATGTAACCAAGAGGAATTACTGAAACACAAATGAAGACTGAGCATGGCAGTTGGACAAGAGGAAAGTAAAAGGAAATACAAGAAAGAACTAGGAGGTAAAGGGCATTTATAGAGGTCTAAATACAGCCATGTACACATGTAAATATATTTATACATGACAATGGGGAAATAGATCTCTGTGTATATATTTATAGGTTTAGTATTAAGGTAACAAATGGACATTGGGCCTCCACTCAAGTACTCCCTCAATGCAAATCATGGTTTGTTCGATTAAACCATGCTGCTTACCTTCCCGACATGATCGCTGAAGACAAATGAAATGGGTACATAAGCAAACGTGGTGAAGAAAGCTGATGGTGCCTGGCTATCAAAAGATATGGCATCTGGGGTCTTAAAGGCTTGAAGGTAAACAAGCGGCCATCTAGCTCAGAAGCAGCAAAGCCTACATGGAAGAATCACAGCAGCCTGTGCGATCACGAGGTGTCACCGGGATCAGGCATCAAAGAACAAAAAAAATCAAATCGTTGTGAATGCCAGGGAGTGTAGATTGGGGATCCAAGACCCATCTGTAGGCAACTGGACACCCCCTTACAGAAGGGTCGTGGGGAGGAGACGAGCCAGTCAGGGTGCAGTGGAGCAACGATGAAACAGACAACTTTCCTCTGGTTCTTAAATGCTTCCTCCCCACCCCCACTATCATGATCCCAATTCTACCTTACAAATATGGCTAGACCAGAGGATGTTCACTGATACAGATAGGAACTGGAACACAGGGAATCTAGGACAGATGATCCCTTCAGGACCAGTGGTGAGAGTGGTGATACTGGGAGGGTGGAGGGAAGGTGGGGTGTAAAGGGGGAACCGATTACAAGGATCTACCTATAACCTCCTCCCTGGGGGATGCACACAGAAAAGTGGGTGAAGGGAGATGTCGGACAATGTAAGATATGACAAAACAATAATTTATAGATTATCAAGGGTTAATGAGGGAGAGGGTAACGTGGAGGGAGGAGAAAAAATGAGGACCTGATGCCAGGGGCTCAAGTAGAAAGCAAATGTTTTGAGAATGATGATGGCAACAAATGTACAAATGTCTTGACACAATGGATGGATGGATGGACTGTGATAAGAGCCCCCAATAAAATGATTTTTTTTTAAAGCAAACACTTCAGAACTGTTTGTTTATTTTGTTGTTCCACAGGCGTCTCAGAAAGACTTGCCTTTTCCCTCCATCCTAGAACCAACGTCCTGGAACCTATGACGCATGAAGCCTTGTCAACATCCATACCGTCTGAGGGTAGCAGCTATGAAGTAGAAGCAGCAGGTGAGCTGTCCCACGTCCAGGTGCCTCAGGTCAACCATTGCTCCCGTGTCATGCCTCCCCTTGAAGCGAGCGTTTCTCCTGCTCTAGTATTGGAAGAATATGATGTGAGTGGCATAGAGGCTAAAATTCAAGTTGGTCTCTTCGGGTCCCTGGCTGGTGCCAAGAGTTAACATCCTGGGGGTTCGGCTCGATGGAAGTGAGTAGTTTGGCTACTCGCTGAAAGGTTGGAAGTTCAAGTTCACCCAGAGGCCCGTCACACCAAAAGCCCGGTAGGCTATTTTTTTAAAAAAAGCCCCACAAGTCATTGAAAGCCCTCTGCAACAGTCCTCTGGCACACGTGGGGCTCTCCCTGAGCCAGAGCAATGTGACAGCCGTTGGTAAATGCTCAGCCCCAGCCTGTGGTGGCCTCCCTCTCACAGGATGGCCATGTGACTGCCCCTCACCCCGGGCCAGCTCTGGCAGGCCTGTTGGCCACAAACCATCTACTACAGGCTTTGCAGCCTACGCCTGTTGTGGAAAAGTCCTTGCTTAGGTTTGGGTGAGGAAAGCCTGTGTTTATGTCTCTGTCAGCGGTATTAAAGATAATGCCTTGTGGTCTGATGTACCGGGCAGTGTTTACCTCTTACAAATCAAAGGGGTTCTGCTTCTTTCCATCTTCTGAAACGAAGTTGGGAAAGAATGTTCTCTTTTCCTAATGGTGAATTTGGCCTTCCGTTCAAAGACGCTCTTTGATGTTTGGGACAGGCGAATATTGGGCAGTAAGAGGAAATTGTTGCCGAAAGACGATAGCCAATAATGCACAGTCAGCCTCTTTCAATTGCCAGAGAAGATGTCCAGGAAGGCATCTGCGAGCCCTGGGATGCGTCACGGGAAAGTGCCTAATCTGGGTCCAGTTGAAGGAACAGTAGCCCAAACGGGCAGCGGAAATGAGGGCAAAGGAATGACTGTCCCTTCTTCTCCAAGCGGATCGTAAATGGGAACAGTTATCTGGGCCTAGGACACATTTCCACATGCAGGTCCTGAATGGCTTTTGGAAGGGGAAACGGAACATCCGTGACCTCCGCCTTGCTTCCTCATCGGCGGCAGATCTAGCAGAGCACCCTAGAGCGGCGTGCTTGAATCCGCTTTTTCCTGTACAATGTCACTTGCCCTTTGTTCTCCTGCCGGCCATAGATCTGCGTGGTCTCTGAAATCATTCCCTGCGTGCCCGTGAGGGGACATGTCGATCCCATCTGGGGTGGAGCCCCAAGTAAAGGTGGGACCGTGGGGGATGCTACCTGGACTGGAAGTGAACGCTCTTCAGGAGAGACCTCCCCCACTTTCCCTGGCCCTGTCAATATTGCTCCAGACGAGGCCTAGCCAAATGCCTGTACTAGTCTGAACTTACCTACCCTGGCCATCCCAACAGGTTTATTAGGGATGGGTCACAATTAATTGGAGAGGAAAATGGGGGGTTCTAGGGTTAATAGGTTTCTTGGAAAGCAGAGGCTGCTCTTCAAGGATTTCACAAATCATTCCCCCTCCCAACCCTGGTTCTCTTTCTGTCTAATGACTATCACCCCACAGCCAGGTGATGGTAGCTTTCTTTTTCACCCGGCTGTGTCTCATCGGGGTGGGGTTGGGGGCTTGCTTCCTAGTGCCCTCAGTGGGCAGAGTGCCTCTTCTGCCGGGAAGTCCGCATCATAAAGTCATGGAAATACACTGCTGTTTCCCTCCGTCAATATGAATGGGGGGTTTGTCGTGGCCATAGAAGAGCCTGCTGTATTCCAGCCAGGAATTCGATTTTAATGAAGCTTTCCATTTGCGTGGCTTTAACACAATCACCTGCGCCCCTCGGTGGATACCTTCGGTGGTCTGCCATCTGTGAAGGCTGGGCCAGCTCCAGGTGAAAGCCCCCCAGGCCGAGGCATCCAGCCTGGAGCCCTTCTGCTGCAGTGCGGCTGACTGGCTGGGCCTCGGCTTCAGCCCCTCTGGACTGTGGCAGTTTGCCAGCAAGTTTCCCTGGGTGGTCTTTGACACTGGGAGAGAGGAGGGGCTGGGGAGCTCAGCGCTCCTCCCCATGGGGGAACAACTAGGTGGCTTTCTATAGGTGGGTGGCCTAAGGGCAACCGGCCCCCTTGTCACAGAGACGGCCTGTACAGGTCGTGCATGGGGGTAAAAGGAACCAAGCAGGTTGTCTAAAGGCGGTCTGGTGCCAGAGCGAGCTTCTTTCTGGTCCTCTGATTGCACCATGGAAGCCTTGGGTCTCTGCAGCCACTCTCCTTCCCAAGAGATGCACACAGGAGCGGCAGGCACCCTTCATCACAGGGACGCTGAACGACTATCTTCACTGGCCAGGAGCAAACTTTGGGCCCCGCCTCTCACCCCACCGCAGGGCATCTGCCTTAGAAGTCAGAGGCGTGAAAGGCAGCCCTGCCTGGCCTCCGCTCTGTCTCCCAGCTAATGTGAGCCTAATAGTAATTAATAATAACAACTGCCAGTTCGTGCACTCCCAGCATGCACCAGGGAGCCCTGGTGGTATAGCAGGTTAAGTGCCGCACTGCTCACCACAAGGGCAGCAGTTCAAAGTCACCAGCCGCACTCCCAAGGGAAAAGATGAGGCTGTCTGGTCCCAGGAAGATTTTGTTTTAGAAACCCAATAGAGTGTCGTTATGAGTCAGAATTGATGTTGGCAGCGGGATTTTTGGGGTTTTGTTGTTGTTTTTGTTTTGTTTTACTGTGCTAAGCACCACAGATATTCTCCTACAAGTACCCCCAACAGTCTTGTGAAGATGCAAATCCTTATCCTATTCGGCAGATAAGGGGACTGAAGCTTAAATAATTGTAGTGACATATTCTGGGTCTCACAGCTGGTAAGGGGCAGAGCCAAGATCTCTTTCATTGTGATCTGACTCCCAAACCAGGCTTTGCAAGGGTGGGAAGCCAGATAATCTCTCTCCTCAACGGAGAATCTCTTCGCTGGAGAACTGTTTCTTTTGCAACCAATGAAGTGTAAGGGATGGTGGTGGTGTGGGGGGCGGGGACTTGATGAGACTTGTCTCAGGGGCATGAATGTAAAACAGAGACCTTATGGTTTCCAATGGGTCCAAGGGTCCATAGCAGCATCAGGGAACAAGCTAGCCATTGCTCTGCACAGCCAGCCAGGAAAACTGCTTCCATCTTGGGTCTGATCGCACACGTCTCTCACCTTGTGATTGTTGTTTTTTTTTTCTGGGACATCATCTGATGCCTGCTTCCACTGTAGCTGCCAGTTGAATCCATTTCCTCGCAGGCCCTCTCCAAGTCTGATCAAGCAGGTCTTCTAGCCCACGGGACTGGGGGTTGAGGGAGGTGGTGGGCTGGTTGAGGGAGAGAAAGTGTTTGGCCCAGCAGATACTTTTCCTGGTCTGGAGAAGTGGCAACTTGCACAGAAAAATTACCCTGGGGAAGGAAGTGGCAGCTTTGATAGACAGCTAACTGACGGGAGCTGGTACCTTCTGGGCAAATACAGTCAGGGCAGCCAGCTGAAAAAAAAAGTCGACAGGCAATGACCTGCAAAACAGCCCTCTCTTAGGGAAGAGGAGAAGATCTGACTGGAAAGGACATGCGGCGCTCTAGTTTCTTTTCTTTCCTGAAACAAATACTGGAAGCCGGAATTCTGGGATGGGAAGGACGCAAGAGACTTGGCCTTATCATTGTTATTAGCGGTCTCTGAGCTGGCCCGCGACCCCCATGCACAACAGAACCAAGCATTTCCCGCTTCGGGCCACCCTCATGATCAGTATTGTGATCCACGGGTTTGTTAATTCGTTTTTGCCTTGACTTATTTGGGAAGTAGACCTCTGGGCCTTCCTTCCCAGTTCCTCTTAGCCTAGAAGCTCCACTGAACCGGTTCAGCTTCACAACAACACTGAATCTCTGTGGTCAGGTGGGTGGGGATTGCAGTGGAACCCAGGCTGCTTCTACAGAAAGCGAACATTCTAGCACCAAACCTTTAAGGTACAATTAATTACGTAGCCAACTCGTTGGGTAACCAAGTCATGGACATTCTGGGCCATTGTCCCTGCAAGGGTCTGCCTGCTCAGCGTACTACGAGGTTGCCATGAAACGGTACCCGGGAACACTTCTGAGTCAGGATGTTCTGACTGGGCACCAAAGTGGGAGGCCTCCGCATCTTAATTCAGAGAGAGAAGGTATGTTGTGAAACTTAGCCAGAGGTAAGTGTCTGGACACCAGGAATGTGTCTTCTGTGGATGTATTGGAAAAATTGCCACATGCTGGGGGGAAAGACGGCTCTGAGATTCTGCATCAGCCCGGTCAAGGACAGTTTGGGAACCAGGAGGACCCAGGCTTCCATCCTAGCTAGGTAGCCGGCCTGGGGCAAGTGACCTACACTTTGAAGCCTGGGTTTCTTATGGTTGCTTCAAAGAGGATGCAAGATAACACACAGCATATTGGAAGCATTAGGTAGATGGCAACTATTGTTCTTACGAGAGCCACAGGAAGCAGCACGCAAGAAAACCTGTTGGTGGACTTGGGCGGCTGCTACATTTAAGTAGGTGGATGACTGTGCTGGTGGAAACCTCACTGGTTCAAGGTCAACAGGAAGAGTGGGGAGTGGAAGAGCAAGCCTACAGCGGGGGTGAGGCCCTGCCCCAATGCACCGTCATGTGCCAATCTTCAGGCTCGGTTGCTGGGTAGGTTCCTCCCACCCAGTCTGTTCTTCGGTTTCTTACCTAACTTGGCTTCTTCCATCATATCAGTTATGCCAGAAACCTGGGGATCACCCTTGACTGTGTTTCTCACAGGCTCCACTTTCCACTGGCAAGTCCTACCGGCACTGCCTTCTACCTGTATCTAGAATTCTACAACTGCGCACCACCCTCGTCCCCCGCCAGCATGTCTGCCTGGAACACTGCAATCGCCCCTTGCTTCCACCCTTCCTGACACCCCCTCCTCCTCCAGGCTCCAGCAGCCCGTTGCTCGCCGCGGGCAAGTTAATCTGCTTCGGAAACAAGAAA